TTCCTGAGCATCAAATCCGTCATTTGAGAGCTGTACATTTGAGGATTCATCATCAGAGAACTGGACTTGGTTGATAAGGGGGGTAGAAGCAGCCATTCTGACTAGTTGACAACTAGTTGTAGTCCTGTGAAATTCGGAAAGAAATTAAAGATGATGGATTGTAAACTGATAACTAGTGCGTATTTATTGACCGCCTGACATGACCGCTAGACAAGGCACGTGATTACCTAATTTGGAATAGTCACTTGACGCGGCGGTTACTAATCGCCTAATTTGGACTAGTCGTCTGACACAAATTTTGGCCCACCTCAAGCTGACCTAATTCCTCATAGATAGATATCAATCAATTATCTTCCTCAGAGGACATCGCACTTTAGCACCATGTTACTTAACTAAGTAAACCCTCAATGTTGCCTGATACTCTGGACTGCTCTCCACGCATCGCCGCTCACCATGACACTACATGACGAGAGCTCTCAGGAACCAGAGCAGCTTCCTCGGGAGAACTGGGCCTTTCTCCCCAGCCTCCCTCTGTTCTCAGGGCCGACCGTTCCAAAAGTTGGACGCCAGTTTTTTACTCATTCTCCGTCTACTATCCTCAAACTGGGCACTGACGATGGCGAAGGCAAGATGACCGCGCTCGCCCATTCCATCCTGGGCCCCTGTGTCCCACGCGGCAGCCGTACCTCCTCTTCTCCGAATTCGGCATAGAGACGTATGTATGTTGCGCCTCCCGCTCAGAGTGGGATGACTCGCGCGTCCGCGCGCTGCAGGCCTCTGCCCCGGACGCGGAACGTGCAGTCGCCCTTGAGCGAGTACAGCGTGACACCACCGGCGCAGGTGATTGGGCCCGTCCTGTCCTCTCGCATGGGGACTTGTCTGACCGGAACATCCTTGTGGACCCCTGCACGCTCACGGTGACGGGTTTCCTGGACTGGGAGATGGCCAACATCATGCCTGCGTACTTTGAGTACGTCGCGGCATGGCTGTCTGGGGGCCATCAACCTGAGTGGAGGAGGGAACTGTTAGATGTGCTGAGGTCTGTTCTGCGCTGCAAGTGCGATGCTGGGCGCCAGGAAGACCTGGATGCTGTCAATGTCGATGATGGAGAGGAAAGATACAGGAGGACGTTGGCGGCGTGGGATGCTGTCGTCAATGTTGAGAGAATCACGCAGGGATACGACAATGACTGTGAATGGACTTTTGAAACCGGCCTACCAGATGTTTCACAAAAGACTGGTTCTGCCTTATAGTTCAATGAGTATGAGAAGCAGCAGCAAATACATAGGAGTAATTCAGACATTATAGAGTAGTATTACCTGATGCTTCTTGATGGATCTGATCAGGCTTCTGCTGACTGTCACACTTTTAGCAGCTGCTACAAGCCTTTTGCTTTTGTGGAAAAAAAAAAAAAAAAAAGCTTCGCTGCAGAGATGGGGGCTGCTGGGGTATTACCAAATGCACGTGATATGACACACTTGTCCTCTTTTTTCAGAGGCAAGCAGGTTTGTGCCAAAACATGCCTCTGCGCACATGCAGCGGCGCAGCCAGCACCATGGGTGTTAAGAAAAGAACAGCCCCTGCTACTGAAGCACATTATCACTTGCGCGCCACGAAACAGACAAGAGAAAGAGCCTGAGCCGATTAATCACACTGAAGATGCTGACATGGGAGATGCCCCAGAGGTCCATGTGACTCCGAACGCAACTCCCCTCATCCCCATCAATCCCCATCAATCACCAACCCAGGCTGGACCAGAGCCATCAAAGCAAGCTCAAGGCGACCCAACCCTGCCCCAGAAAACCAACATATAGGCGGCCAGTGCCTGGACAGGATACTCCCCGCCTCTAACCCAGCTAAGTGTGGAGCTCCAAAGCATGCAGTGGCATCTCGCGCTGCTCAGATAAAGACTACAGGAGATGAATTCCTAGGGCTTGTCTCTGTGATTAGGCAAAGGATCGCTGAATGGGAAGAACGGAGCCTACAAGGAGCCGTCTCTTTGGGCAGGGACGAACTTGCTTGTGGTTGTGGAATTGCAACTTCAGGTTAGCAGGTGGAAGAATGTGCTTGCAGTTGAATTGGAGAAAGACTGGGCTCAACCTCTTCATCATCAGCCTCCCCAGTCTCATCCTCAAAGCCATCATAATCCTCAATATCACTGATGCAATGAGCATCAATCTCAGCACCTGAGTCCTCATCATATGCAACCTCATTCTGATTTTGCTTGGCATCCAATTCATCCTCCAAAACCTTATAATCTTGTTTCAGTTCGAAACGGTCAGATGACAATTGAATCATAATGGCCTCAATTGTCTCAGGAGCAAGCCAGTTATGATGATAGTGGCAAACATCTCAAGCAGTGCTGAATAGGTTTTCAACACCAACACCACTTGCTGGAACTGCAAGGAAATCTCATGCCACTCAGGTGTGACGGTCAAACACTATAGAGCCAGAGGAAGACTTTCACAGACGCATCATACGACACATTGCAGGTGACAGGTCAGCGCCGCGTCTAGATAAATATCCTCTCCTTCCACTAGATAGATTCCGTTCTTTAGATTCGATATTCTCATTGATGGCTACAATAGTCTAGATAGGAATTCAGTTCGTCAGTATCTACTATTCCGAGCTGACACATTATCCATACTGGGGAAGCCTAAAGGCGCAAAGAACAGACCCCAAGGCAGAGGAAACACTGCGGCTAATTGAAGAACATGACCTGGCCCTCCTTTACGAGCCGGGGACAATCACCTTTCGGGCCCGAGATTGAGAAACAAGGATCGACCTTTCGCTATCCACATCTCGACTATAGGATAGCCTTATCCGGTGCCTCCCACGGGATGAACTATACCATGACTTAGACCATGTCCCCCTCGAAATGATACTGGCAAAACCAACCTACAAGCGGACGATCCCTGAGCAGCGGAACTGGGAACGCACAGACAAAGATTGACTCCACCAAGTCCTGGTACAAAATTTGCCGAATCTATCAACGCTGGCAACGGCGCAGGACATCGACCATGCCACACAAGCAATAGTAGCGGCTATTCTAACTTCCGTCAAAGAGTCAACACCAAGATCACGGACCAGGCCACGTTCGGTACTGGGGTGGACAAGAGAATGTAAAGAGTCCCAGCAACGCGCGCGACGCTTGAGACAGAAATATCAGCACAAATGAACACCTGAATCCTAGGAATCGTACCATCAAGCAAGGAACCACAAAGCAAGACTAATTAGAAGGACCCTGCGGGGCTACCATAGAAAAAGAATCAAAGATGCGACAAGCTCCATAGAGGGCCTCTGGAAGATAGCAAGGTGGGTCTGAAACAGAGGGCCATGATCAACATGCATACCACCGCTCCAACGATCAGACGGACAAATGAAAACGGATGCAATCAAAAAGCTCGAGCTGTTCAGGCAAGCTTTTTTTCCGCCTCCTCCGGAGGTCGACCTAGAAGACACCAAAGACCATGTTCACCCGGACCCGTTGCACTTTCCACTGATCACTCTGGATGAAATCACCGGATCGATCGGATGCATGCCCGGTAATAAGGCGCCAGGGAAGGATACCATCCCAAGTCACCTACTACACTGCATTCACAATGCATTGCAAAACCTCTCCAATGCCTGTACAATGCTTGCCTTCGGTTGCACTACTGTCCCCAATACTCCCGGGAGTCTATCACAGTCGCGCTCAGGAAGTCGGGAAAGAGTGACTATGGACAGTTGAAGTCCTACCGACCCGTAGTGCTCCTTAAAACCCTGGGCAAAGTAATGGAGTCAGTCATAGCAAAGCGGCTCAGCTATGCGGTTGAAAAGTATGGCCTACTACCAGCACAGCACCTAGGGGGGCGGAGGGGAGTCTCAACAGAGCAAGCGGTCCATCTCTTGCTAGAAAGAATACATACAACCTGGAAAATGACCCCGTCCCATATAGCCAGAGTCCTATTCCTTGATGTATCGGGCGTGTTCGACCATGTTTCACATGCGCGACTGCTCCACAACCTGCGGAAGAGGCGGGTAGATAAAATGAGAAGAAAGGAAGAGAAGATAGAATTATTCAAATGAGGATAATAGACTATTTCAAATTGATTTTGAGCCATCTGCTCGCTACGAAAGTCTACAAGGATGAGAAGACCAAGAGTTGGTTTTCAATAGGGTATATTCAATTGCTCGGAAGCCATCTAGGCAACAGGAGCAATGAGGATAGGATAAGACAAAGACAAACCAAAGCATACAGGTAAAAACAAAGCAGAACAAACAACCAGATCATCCCAACGCCTTGCCTCCATAGACTTGTAAACATCACTCGCTTGCAAAACATGCTCGGAAAAAGGAGAACAGAACAAAACCAAGAAAATAAAGTACAAACATAACCATTTTTCAAACCAACTCCGTAACCGCCCGCTCTGTCTGTCCATCTAATGCGTGAGGGTATCAATCGTGAAGGCGACAAAACAATCAAGCCACTACTGACCGGCTGCTTCGGCGATAGTGGTGCCATCGGCAGCAATACCGACCAGGTTGCCAGCG